CCCAGGGGGAGAGGAGCGAGGCCGAGGCCGAGGCCGCCGTCGCGCGGCGCGATAACCGGCGAGCGGCGCTCGGGAAGGCCGCCAAGTCGCTCGCGGACCCCCGCTTGAGGCGCCGGGGGGGGAGTTCCCCGGCGATCGCGGCGGCCTTCGCCGGATCCCCCCACCCGCCGCGACCGGAAGGGGGGGCGAAGTCCTTCTCGCCGTCGTCGTCGTCGGGGGAGTCCCCCGGAAGGGATTCGACCTTGACGAGAAGGGCGGCGATTTGCTGGGAAAGTACGCCGTTTCGGTAGGCCAGGGCCTGCGCGTCGAGCCGCAGGGCCTCGTTGACCTCCTGGAGATCCGCGAACTCGGACGCGAGCCCGGCATTGGCCGCCGTGATCGCCTCGAGGTGGTGTTCCGCCTCGGCAAGGCGGTCCTGCAGGGCGAGGTACGCCTCGACGGAAGGCCTCCCCCCCCCTTCCGCCTCCCCCGGCGTCGCCCGCGCGCGATCGCGGCGCTTCCCGGGCGATAGAAGCCCCGCGGGGTCCTCGGCGGCCTTTTCGTCCGCCATCAGCCGCCCGATGACGTCCTTGACCTCCTGGCATGAGGCGGCGATGGCGGCCAGGGCGTCCGGGGGCCTCGCCGGACGGGCCCCCGCCCCGCCGCGGGGGTCCGTTCGAGCTGCGCGATTTTCGCCTTCGCGGCCTCGAGCTCCGACTCGGCCGCATCACGCGCCGCCAGGGCGCGTTTGTGGCATTCCAACGGCACCGTGGCGAGCTTTAGCAGGGCCAGCGCCTGCTGGGCGTCGGCGCTTTCCCGCAGGGCGTCCTGCAGTTCGCGCTGGCGCGCCGCCAAGGCTCGCTGCCCGTGCGCGCGCTCGTCCTGCAGAAGCCGGTGAAGGCCCTGGGCCCTGGCGTGGCTCTGCAGAAGCCCGGCCACCGCCGCATCCCCCGTCCGCGCGTCGACGGCCGCGCAAGCGGGTGTCGGGGAGTCCGGGGTCGAACCCCCCTCCGCGTCCGCCCCCTCCCCGGGGGCCACCGGCCCCTCCTCCCCTGCGATCAGGACATAAAAGGGGCTTTGTTTGAGGGTGTGGAGGTGGCGGG